AGTGTTGTTTTTGGTTTGTACATTTTTGCACTTTATTTTATTGTATTTCAATCCAATTATGTTTTAAAAATATTTTATTCGAGTAAATGATCGAAAATTACTGTACTATTATTTGTTTTTCTTTTAAGTAAATTTAGTCTACTTTTGCGAAAAGAGAAAATATGGACTATTGACAGTGCCTTGAATAATATCGGCTTCTTTCATTCATGTTATGGGTATTGGGTATTTATACAAAGGACATTTTTTTGTGCCTGTTGAAAATTAAAGTTTACTGACATAGCCATAAAAAAATGTTGCTTTATTTATCTGACCATATTGGAATGTATTTGTTAGGTTTTCAGTCGATTAAATTTGGTTCAATAAACAATATGTGGTCATTTTTAAAATTTTCAATGAACATTCGATCAGTCCGGCCCTCGGCTTGCAGCAAATTTTTTTATCTGGCCCTCCGTCCATTTGACTTTGACACCCCTGCTGTAGTTTGTTTGAGAAAAAAGTCTTATTTTTTCACAAATTGTTGAGTGGATTTGGATTCAATGAAAGATTTCCATTTTTCTTTCAAGGAATAAAAATGATTTCTGTTTTTCCCAGAAAACAAGTTTTTGAAAGCAGGACTAATTCCACAAATGAACAGCGCCCTCCAGTGGCATCTCAGGGCATGACCGCCTCCCTCCCTCGGGCGCTGACCCTCCTGTGGTTGTCTGCAGCGGTGGCGGGGATGCCCAACCCGAGTCAACGGGACCTGCTGATGCGCCTGATGGTGTCCAGGCAGACGGGCGGCGACGCGGTACTCACACCAGCCAAGGTTTCAGTCTCTTGGTCCCCAGGAGAGAGACTGAAACCCTGGAACCGCCCCTGCCGTCAACATAGGGCGACCGTGCATTGCGTCAAATTGTGCACTTTTATTATCGCGTTAACAGACATTCAATTCTGACAGCATATTAACGGTACAACAGTGACCTCGTGTGGACAAATGGTAGTACAGTCATTCGGACGGTTCTAGCCTCTTGTGACATAAAAAAATCCCCCCAAATTCTTATTAAATACGTTTGAAATAACGTTTTGTTTTATTTTTGGGGGGGGGGGTGCATATCGATGGCTTTTCAAAACACGTCCAGAAGTGTTTGTGCCGAACATTGAGTTTGTGTTGAACTATAGCGTCCACTTTGGCGACAACACACGTGAGCTGGTCTAGCACCAAAACATTGTGTATTCGCCTGAGTTGTGATCATTCATTGATGTTCATGCATCCATCATATTGCAAAGAAGAAGAAGCCAATGAGGAACTTGATACTTGCCTTCCCATAATGATTCGATTCAGAGGTAGTTTGCCCACAACCGTGTTCCGGATAAACGGTGTTGATCTGTAGCGACGCCACTCGAGTGAAGCGCGACTCCGCAGTCGATAGTCCGCTGCTCTCTGCTGTGCGTGCATCAGCGCGGACGTGTACGCACGCACGTCTTTTAGCTTCAACCAATCAGTGCTGACGCAACGGACGTTACACATCAAAGAGCTGTGATCTACGACAACAGCCAAGCTAGCCTAGCCACGGCAACAGCTAAGCTAGTTGAGACGACATGACGCTCGAGGTTAGACAGACAAGCGCTCCATCAATCTGTATGTTTCTCTTCTTTTCTCTCTTTTCTGTCCAAATATATATTTTTCTACAAACAATAGCTGTCTTGTCCACGACGTCTTTTATTCCACCGGGGTTTAGCTACCGTATTTATAAAGAGACCGAAATCTCTTTAGACATGTTGGCGCGAATGCCGTAAGGCAGTCGTTGCAATGTCGTAAATATAGGAAGTACGGCAATGTCGTGGTTCGTCAGGAATATTCACCTTCGCGGTGCTACGTCACGCTATTTTTAGCCCGTGTTAAATTCTTGTCGGCTTTGCCAAGTTGCAGTCAAAACATCTACGCTCGGCTGACGTAAAACTCCGCGTGTCCGGCTGGATTGAGCCGCGGTGTCGGAGGCACGGTCGCTGCCCAAGGCTTGTTAAAGCCAAGTAGACCCCTCCCCCTACACATATCCCCAATGATTTTTAATGTAAAAATATAGGTTTTGTGAAAATCATATTTTTCACAACAGAATCCGCGGAATTCTGCGAATCCGCGGAAATTTCACAGCCCCGTGTCCAAGGCAAACAGCAACATACTATGTTGTTGTTTGCCTTGGACTATGTTGAACAGAGTGAGCGTTCACCCGACTGGTGAACACTTTTTCTGGGTGATTCACATTGACGTAAAACTATCGGAACGCCTCACGGCCCGAGAGGCGAATGACAAGGACGCCGCAGAGACACATCTATTCTATCTACACACAGACACATTCAGTAGTGGTCCCTCTTAGCCAATGGGATGCCAGGAAGATTCTAGATAATAGCCAATGGAAGAGCAGCTATAAGTATGTTGCGTTCATGAAACTCGGAGCTGTCATGAGCAGCCCATACTGTATTTTTACAGTTTCATATCTTGAATTTTCTCTCGGAACAAGAGGCAATACAGTGAAACTCCTCTAGAACGAAACCGACATGGGCGAAAATACCCCCTTATGTGAAAAATTCCTCATGCATTAACACAATTCCCATTCTCCTGCCCCCCATACGACGAAAACCCCCGTTGCATTATACAAAATCATTTTCTCTGCTCCAGCCTCGCGAAGACATTCACTACAACGAAGTCTTATTCAACAGCGACCTCTACTGCTTCGTTCGAAAAAAGCCAACAGCAACCACCACACTGGTTTACATAGTGAACGATGTTTATTTCGGACATGGCTGCAGTTTCCTGGACTCAACATACTCATAGCTGCTCTGCTTACCGAGCATCATCCTGGTCTCTGATTGGCCAAGAGGGACCTCACTGTCTATGTGTGTAGATACTGAAGCTAGATCCATAGCATCCGATTAGCTGTTCAGAGTAAATTGCTTATGGCTCGACGGACATTCAAATAAACGAACGTTTCCTCGAATGCTTTACTTGTTATCATGCTAAAAACACCCATGGGACGCTTCGTAGTCCTCGATAGCCACAGTTAGCTCTCGAAGGCTAAAAACCTTACGCTAACAGGAGCGCTTCTCTCTTATTAGCGCTCCAGTTAGCGTAAAGTTTTTAGCCTTCGAGAGCTAACTATGGCCATCGAGGACTACGAAGCGTCCCGTGGCTGGCTTAGAAGTTCATTGCATGACATCAGCTGAGCAACGCTGTCTTGGGTGGCGATCAAGGGGAGGTCGAGTTAGAGACAGTGAGATGGTGGAAAGAAAAGCCACCGGGTCCACGAAGTGTTTGTTATTGTTAGATTCAGACGAGCATGGACGTTGCATTGCTAAAATGGCTACAAAACGGACCTTTGGATTTCAAACAGCAAAGACAAGAAGAGCTCTGATGCTGGAAGAGAGGGTAAAAGTGATCAAAATGAAAGACGGAGCAAGCAAAATAAAAGACATTATCCAAGAAATTGATGCAAGTGAAAGTGAATGCTGATCATAAATTTCACAATTTCTTTCCCTTTTTTTCTTTCTACACTGACAATATGAAGTGTCAAATAAGTGTGTGCTTATACTTATGCACTATTGGAATAAAAATAGAGTACACATACGTTTGTGTGTGCGTGTTTGCATACGTGTGTGTGTGTGTGTGTGTGTGTGTGTGTGTGTGTGTGTGTGCTTACATCTGAGATCAAATTTGCTGCAGTGAAAAACCCCCTGTTGTGAAAAATTTCTTGCTACAAACATGATTTCGTT